AGCGGAGCTACTGGAGGACCTGCGGGCGTACCTGCTGCACGCCGAATACAAGGCGCAGCGCGGTGATCCGGCGGGCGGACTCGAACTCATCTCACACGCTCTCAACCTCATCGCGGGGCGTTTCGAGGTGCTTCAAGTGGAGGACGCCTCCGACTTTAGCACGGCGAAGCACTTTAAGCTGTACCAGCAGAAGAGCCTGCTGACTTCTCGACCCTTCAAGCAGGCGGTCGCGGACATGGCGGCGATGGACCGTGCGGCAAGCGGATACGCTCGTGTCAACCGCGGCGGAAACAACGGGCCGATGCCGTTCTTACCCAAGCGAGGCCCCCCGCCCACGGCCAATTGCCGTGGGTTCCAGGGCTCATGCTTCTGCTGTGGCCAGCCGGGCCACGTGGCAAGTGCCTGCCCTCGGAACGGGCATGGAGGCCAGGGACCCGCTCCGGTGGTGTAGGAGCGGGCCATGAGACTAGGCGCTTGGGCGCTAGGCACGGTGCACTCTTGAGTGCGAAAACCGTGGGCAACCCTAGGGGTTTGCGATGGCAAGAGGCCAGCCCTAGTAAAGGGTGGGATAGGCTTGGGCCTAGGATAGGGAAGGGGAACAACAACCCCTCGGTCCCATATGTTGGCCACTTGGTGGCATGCTAGGAAAGCATTGCTATGTGTGTTGGTTGATTTAATAAAAACTACCTTCCTAAAGGCCTATGGTTTTGGCAAAGAGACTATGAAAATCAAGAGGAGGAGCAGAGAGAGAGAGAGAGAGAGAGAGAGAGAGAGAGAGAGAGAGAGAGAGAGAGAGAGAGAGAGAGAGGGAGAGAGAGAGAGAGAGAGAGAGAGAAAGAGAGAGAGAGAGAGAAAGAGAGAGAGAGAGAGAGAGAGAGAGAGAGAGAGAGAGGGAGAGAGAGAGAGAGAGAGATAAGAGAGAATGAGAGAAAGCACAATGGACAACGGTGTCCATGGCCCTAGGCATCAGCCCCTACACACTAAGGGCAGGCACAACCATGTCCTACCAAGTGGACGACGGGGCAAAAAAAAAAAAAAAAAAAAAAAAAAAAAGGGGGAAACGAGGAGAAGAAGAGACATGCGTTGACATGCGTTAACATTCCCGACACATTCGTTGACATTTCATTCAATTGTTCATTCTCTTCACACCTTCGATCAATGGTTGCCCGTACAAGTACATGCACACGCATGCTTTAACGTGGAATACCCAAAGCTTATACCACTTGGCCTCAAATGTACAGGAGCACGACGGTGCGAGGCGGCATGCCACGACGATCCGTACGAATTTGCCGTTACAGACAGAACTATTACACACATGCGCGGTCGTCTTCGCGCGACAATTGCGTGGTGGAGCTCATGGTGCCCCAGCAGCCTTGTCCTCTCCGTCATCGCCAAGGGTTACTGGTTGCCATGGAGCCACGGCCCACCGCAACATTTCCACGATCGCAATCATGTCGGGGCAAACACGCATGCCACGTTCACACGTACCGCCATCCAAGAACTCATAGAGACGGGAGCGGCAATTCCGATGGCCGCAACGGACCTTACATGCATAAGTCCACTCAACGTGGTCGAGCAAAAAGACAAATGCAGGCTCATTCTTGATCTGAGGAAAGTCAACGCCAACTTGATCATCCCCAAGTTCAAGTACGAAGGGCTCAGCCGCGTCGCCGACCTTGCGCGCGTTGGGGACTGGATGTTCTCCATTGACCTCAAATCTGGTTACCACCACATCGACATCCACCCATCGTGCTGGAAGTTCCTTGGCTTTGAATTTGATAAGCGCACATACGCATTCCGTTCACTACCATTTGGCCTCGCGACAGCTCCATTCGTTTTCACGCAGCTCATCAAGCAACTAGCTCGGCGTTGGCGAGAACAAGGCATCCGAGTCGTACCTTACGTGGACGACATCTTATTTCTCTGCCAGTCAAAAGAGGACGCGCAAGCAACTTGCCAGCGGGTGATATTGGATCTTAAAGAGGCAGGCCTTGTGATAAACGCGAAGAAATCACAACTGTCACCATCGCAGCGTCTCCGATTCCTGGGCGTAGAACTCGAGACCGATACCGGCCGATTCTCCATCGGTCCGGACCGACGAGCCTCACTACATGCAACCATCCGGAACCTCCTGAGCGCAAGCAAGGCATGCCGACCAGTCCCGGTCCGCCACGTGGCCAGAATCACTGGCATGCTCGCATCGATGGGTGTCGCACTTGGCGCGACAGCTCGCGCATTCAGCCATGCTATGTTACAAGTGATCGACGACGCACCGTCATGGAAAAGCAGCGTCGTTATCCCCCCATCTGCAGCAGAAGAGCTCCAATTTTGGCTCGAGGAGTTCGACCGTTTCAACGGCGCACCTTTTCACGTCAAGAACAGCTACGACGGGGTAATCCACGTGGATGCCAGCTCTCATGGTTGGGGCGCCACTCTGACCACATTTCCGGGTGGCATCGAAGAAGCTAGCGCAACCATGTCAGAGCCGCTACGAGGAACGTCCAGCACGCGACGGGAGATCGAAGGCGTCCTTTGGGCGCTACAAACGTACGCGAACAAGATCAAGCAAAAACACGTTCTCGTGCGGGTGGACAACCAGGGCGTATTCTTCATCCTTCGCAAAGGCGGCTCTCACAGCCCCGACCTCACAACGGCATGCAAGAGCATCATCCGAACATGCATGGCGCTTGGCACGCGCTTGATCATTGAATGGATTCCGCGCGAGCTCAACACACACGCCGACGAGCTTTCAAAAATGGTCGACCACGACGATTACGCGCTGAAAACGCCGTGGTTCCGGATCTTGGAACGTCGTTGGGGTCCTCACTCCATCGACCTTTTCGCAAACTCCCGCAACACCCAACTGCCGCGCTTCTGTTCAAAGATTCCCCACCCGGCAGCCATTGCAGTTGATGCGTTCTCGATCGCGTGGACACCTGAAAACAACTTCGCCTTCCCCCCACCTCAACTGGTCCCAGCCGTCCTCCATCACGCACAACGCACCCATGCATCACTCACACTGATAGTTCCGCACTGGCCAGGCGCAAGCTGGTGGCCACTCTTGCAACCCTCCCCACGCACTTGGGCACCACACATCCACGCGCACATCCCTCTGACACACGGAAGCCAATGCCTAGACGTAGGGTCCCATTCAACTGCTTTTTCGGGCATGGGACTACCGCACAGCCCAATCATTGCACTGCGAGTGGCATTTGACTAATTCAATATATATACACCTTGTGTTCAGATTTGCTCCCAAAGTTACACGACCAACTGATCAACATGCTCGCGCAGTCCCGCGCCGATTCTACGATCCGGACATATGAACCATACTGGGCCAAGTTTCGAGCCTTCTGCACAAAAGTGAACCTTCCATTCCTCCTGGCATCCGACATGACCCTCGCGCTATACCTGGTACACGCAATCCGACGCAAAGCCACCCTGTCCATAGTGCAGCTAACCTGCTCGGCGGTCAGCTTCGCCCATCGCATGACCGGGAGCAAATGCCCGACAACCGGACCGTTCACCACCCAAGTCCGTGACTATGCAAAGCGACACTGCCCACGCCCTACTCGTCTGAAGGAACCCGTCTCGATCCAACAAGTCCAGGAAATGGCCGCGAGCTACTTGCAGTCCGACGATCCTGCGCAATTTGAGAAAGGGTTGATACCCATCCTCATGTACTCCGGATTCCTGCGATACTCTGACCTAGTAGCCATAAAATGGCAAGACATCCAATTCGACGACGAGGTCATGTGGATTCTCATACCACACTCCAAGACCGATCAAGCTGGTCACGGCACTTGGATACCCATTGCAGCAACGGCGGACCCCTGCTGCCCAGTGCGCTGCACCCGACGCTTCATCCGACTCGCTGGCTATGGCCCACGGTCAGAGGGACCATTGATTCGTGTCTTCGGTCACGGTTCAACCATCGAGGGCCAGGCTAGGCCACCTTCATACACTACGATCCGGAACTGGTGCAAGGAAGCCTTCGCAAAGGTTGGCCTTGGAGAGTTGCAGCTAGGCACCCATTCTTTCCGAAAAGGTGCAGCCACAGTAGCAGCCAACACGGGAGTGCCAGACAGAGTCTTCAAACGGCTGGGCAGATGGCGAAGCGACACAGCAAAGGAAATGTATGTTACGCCATACGTCGAGCCCCTCATCGAAGCCTCCCGTGCCCTACAAGATTCGACGCATGCGGAGTCATCGGCGCAACACACAGAGGCACTTGTACGCAACCGGAGGCCCCCGCTGCCCATGTCTCAGAGACCCCATTTGTAATGAGAACGATGCCAATTGATAAGAAAGAAAGCAAGCTTTCTCAATATTATAATTTTTAAACACACATGTAGTGTTTTTTAAAATTGTGTATTGTGAAAGCGAAGCTGCTTGTACTGCACAATTGGCACCGTCGAAGCGCGCTAAACGCCCTTCTCCAACTACAAAAACCGTGGGTTGGAGCTCATTTCCCTCCACCCACGTTTCTCAATTTTCAAACGGCTCACTCAACATTCCCACCACCCACCCCAGTGTAAACCGCCTTGCTAATGCCACTTGGATAGGGTACATAATAGCTAGTGTTATTAGTCCGCACTAGCTTATGTCGAACGATGATGCAAATGTTGTAACACGCCATTTGTAATGAGAACGATGCCAATTGATAAGAAAGAAAGCAAGCTTACTCAATCTGTGGATATTGTTGGAATCGTGAGAACGAGGACAATGCGATTGGCATTAACAAGAAGACTTTCCAACATTTCCGATCCTAATATTGCGCTGCTGGGCTGGGAAAGCCCGCTCGTGGCAGGGCGTCGGCTCCGCTATAGCGGGCGCGGCTAAACGATTCAGGCCATCAAAGGAATCCTTCGCATCCAGCAAGTCAGAGGCGGCAGAGGGGCAGGAGATTAAGGCTGGGAGCGCGGTTTAATAAATAGTCACGCGAGGACGTGCGGTTGAGAGCAGAGGAGAAGGAGAAGGTGGAATGTGCCCCCCTGGGCATGGGTTCGTATCTGGCGGTGGCAGAGGCTTCTGCGGCAGACAACCCACCCAAGTTCATCCACGTCACCTACACGCCGCCTGCTGCTGGAACTGCTCGTGCTGGGGAAGGGGGGGAGGAGAAGGCATTGAAGAAGTCGGCGCTGATTGGCAAGGGGCACACCTTCCACCTGCCAGCGCTGATTCGCAAGGGGCACACCTTCCACCTGCCAGCGCTGATTCGCAAGGGGCACACCTTCCACAGCTATGCATGGGTGTTCGCCTGCCCTCTCATGGCTCTTCGTGGCTCCTCATACCCCCCTCCCCGCTCATTCTTGTTCCTTCGCTCTTCCCCACCCTTCCCCCCTCCCCTTCGTGCCACCTTCCTTCGCTCCTATCAGTGGCGGCTACAACCTCCTGTAGTCACCCATTTCCCCTCTATTCACCCATTTCCCCTCTTTTCACCCATTTCCCAGCTATTCACCCATCCCATCCGCTTTCCACGTTGATCTATTCGTCCAGCCGCCTTATCGAGTACCTCTTCTATTCACCCATCCCCATCCCTCCCTTGAGCCAGTGGCGGCTACAGCTTACAACCTCAAGCAGGCCCGGCTCAATGATTCACCCCATGAAGTTTGACCCAGGTGACACGGCGGCGCTGCCAGTCAAGGCAGTCTCCACAAGATCCTAAGGGCTTCCCTCAGCCCATCAGATGCAAACCATACCAATACGGTAGAGTAGGGTGTACTCTTCCAGCGAATACATTCTGTTGTAACACAGTGGCAGTGCGCAACTCTCAACACTAACCCCTACATGCTTAAAAAAACATACACTTGGGAAACAACAGGAAGACAGGGCCTCAATCAGGCCTGACGGTGATGTTTGCATCGTGCACCGTCCTTGAACTGCGTCTGTCCGTTCCCCCGTGTACCGCTAAGCAGAGCACAGAAACCCTTGCACAAGTCGTGCCTTTCCAATAACGTCCTGAACTCAACTGTCAGTAAGTTTCAGATGCGTGTGACCCTTGAGGTGTGGGGAGCTAGAGTGCATGAATGGGGTGCGCTGTGGCCTCCAGCCAGCAAAGCCAGAGCGGGCGGGCGCGGAGGAGTGACGCTTTGAAGTCTCTTGCAATGCACCACCTCGTTCAAATCGCTCCTTCCCGTGCCATGAAGTTGTGTTAGGATGTAATCTTCGGGCCTTTACACTAGGAGGGGAGGGGGGAGGGGGGAAGAAGGCAAGGAGTCACGGGCAGAGCAGGGTGCATGAGGAGACGGTCCATTCGGGCGAAAAGGGAGGCAGGGGTTGGTGAGATGAGAGAGGAGAGCGTGGAGGATGAGGGGGAAGTGAAGGAGAGGGGAAGGGCGCATACAGAGGAGATTGATGAAGGTGGAAGTGAGGGCAGTGGGAGAGAGGAAGGGAGCGGGTGGCAGAGGCATGGTGAGAGGATTATGAGAGAGGCATGGTGAGAGGATTATGAGAGAGGCATGGGAATGAACGGGTGGGAGCAAAGCGAGGTCATGCCGATAGGCGGCCACGCCGATAGGGGGCGACGCCGATAGGGGGCGAGGTCGATAGGGGGGGAGGTCGATAGGGGGCTCACCTGCGTTGGACTCACCTGCGTTGGACTCACCTGCATTGGACTCACCTGCGTTGGACTCACCTGCGTTGGACTCACCTGCGATGGACTCACCTGCGTTGGACTCACCTGCGTGGGACTCACCTGCGTTGGACTCACCTGCGTTGGACTCACCTGCCTTGGACTCACCTGCGTTGGACTCACCTGCCTTGGACTCACCTGCGTTGGACTCACCTGCCTTGGACTCACCTACACAGGACGTGCCATGACGGCACGGAGGGCGCGGGTCACGAGGAGGGGTGCGATCGCTTGTGGTCGCGCGCCAGCTTGGAGAGCAGGCGCAGCTTGCCCGCCGTCTCCGCACTGCCGGGGCTCCTCTCCGCCGCCTCCCTGAACGCCTCCAACGCCTGCCACCGCGCAGCACGGCAGGACAGTGCAGCACAGCACGGCAGCATGCCACCACACACATACTCGTCACCCCGGCAGCACCCAACTTAGAAATTCGAGATTGAACAAGTGAGGGCAGGCGAGGGCAGGCGAGGGCAGGCGAGGGCAGGCGAGGGCAGGCGAGGGCAGGTGAGGGCAGGTGAGGGCGGCTGACCTCGTCGTAGCGCTTCATGGCCTCCAACGCACAGCCCTTGCGGTAGTAGCCCTGCGACGATCCAGGCACACGCCACACCACCACATCACACCACACCACCACATCACACCACACCACCACATCCCACCACACCACCACATCCCACCACACCACCACATCCCACCACACCACCACATCCCACCACACAACCACGCCACCACGCACATCGCAACGCACGCGAGAGCGCGCGTGAGTGAGTTTCCAATTGCGGGCGGCAGAAGCGGAAGCGAAACCCCGTGGATCCCCGCGAGTTCCGCGACGGCTCACCTTCTCCCACGCGGGGTTGAGGCGGATGGCGGCCTCCGCGTCCGCCAGCGCCTTGGTGAGCTTCGACAGCTGCAGGAACGCCGCCGACCGATTGCTGCGCGCCGCACGTGCAGTCAGCCACGGCCGCCGCGCCAAATACGGAATAACAAAAAAACGCGAAAATTGAAACGAAATGCGCGCGGCGCGGTTACCTGTAGAGCGCGTGGTTGTCAGGCGCCTCTTTAATGGCCTGCGTGTAGAGCGCCGCCGCCTTGAGGAAGTTCTTCGCCTTAAACTCCGCGTTGCCGCGCTCCTTCAAACCCGCCTCGCCTTGCGCCTCGCTCGAGCCCGGATCCGCCATCGCTGCGATCGGCACGCAGAGGCACCACGACGGATGGATCTGTGGCGATGGGAGCGACGGTGAGTCGTCGCTGCAGTGATCCGGATCTCGCCGTGCTTCGCTCTCCCGCTAACTGGTGCATAAGTGAAGTCCAAGTTGAGTCGCTCGTTCACATGGAGGATCCTGCTGCTGAATCAGTGCTGCTGGGCACATCTGGAGGAATGTACGCGCTAGAGATGTACCTTCCAAACGAACAGTAGATATTCAGGTTCCAAGTTTGTATTGAGGGAAAATATGTCAATGGTAACTTACATGGGGCACTATAGCGCGTACGGTAACGATTTCAACGCGTTTGGTAACTCGCTTAACGCGTTTGGTAACACGCTTAATGTAAGGAATTTTTTGCTAATTCCTTACTGAGGCACCGCTTACGCGTACAATTCCAACTTTCAGAGTTCAGGCTCGGTCCGTCGACCTCGCCTCCCGAACGGCTTCCGCGTCGCCTTCGGGTTTTCCAAACCCAAACCTACACCCAACCTTCACGCGACTCCGCGACCTCGGCTTAGCTAGCTTTGCTACCGTATATTATGCCTAGGCCCCGTTGTTTGCTCAGTAGTTGTAATCACTTCCGCGATATTGCATTCTGCGCACTCTTCTTTCATACAACTCATAACACCTGGTATCAGAGCTACTTTCCAAGGTTACCCTCCACTTTCCCGGGTAGTTTAGTACACGGGTGCGATAGGTTTGGTGGGCTGCAAAGCGGTCGGCTGAGAGATAGACACGATTATCTCGCTCCGACAAATAGCGTTTGCGCCTTCATCAAAACCATAAAAATCGTTGTTAACCCCCTGCCCGTTAGACGAAGCCTGCGACACATGGACCAGGCGGAGTTCAACGAGCTCATGCAACAGTTTCGGGCGATGCATGCCAACATGCAGACTATGTCTGGCGAGTTGGAGCGCCTGAGGGCGGAAAACGCCGAGCTACGCCAGACACGAGGTGAAGCGCGTCAGGAGTCGCCGGCCGTGGATGAAGCAAGTAGCAGTTTCTCGCCTAACGACGAGGTCCTCAGCGAGCTACAGAACTCGCTGGACGCTGAAGACGAGCGGACAGCACGGATGCAAAGGGCACAAGGGACGCAGGAACAACAGTCACAGCCGAGGCAACACTCGCAGACTACGCGACGATAGGCAACAGCGACAACCCCGGTGATGGCTTCAATGGCGCCCCCAATGCATGCACCAGCAACAGTCTCAACAACTGTTAAAATAAAACCGACGAACCCGCCCCCGTTCAACCCCAGCGACAAAACCGTCACTTTGTCGGCTTGGTTGTTCGGTGTAGAGGTGTTTTTCAATGCTGCGCAAATTGCTGACGATGCTACCCGCATTAATTTTGCAGTGTCATTATTGCGAGGACCGGCGTTGGAGTTGAGAAAGAGTGGACGAGAATGAATGAACTATGAATGAAGTGAGTACAAATATGAAACCCTAATTGGGTTGTACCCCCTATGGGATACCCCACTATAGCCTACACAACAGCATAAGCTATAATTTCTGACACACCCCCATAGGCAAAGTGGGGGAGAACAAGGGGTCACAAGACCAGTCAAGCAAAGCAAAGCAAAGCTCAGGGTGGATCACAAAGTCACCACACATTCCGAGCACAAGTTCAAAGGCCAGAAGGCCAGTTCACATGCAAGATCACATATAGAGATATACAAGAGTCAAGCAAGCAAGAGCAAGAGTATATATAGGTGAAGGTACAAGCAAGGTCAAGAAGTGAGCAAGTGAGACAAGACAGGCACAAGACCCAGCTGCGTGCAGCAACGCTGATGATCACAAGGCGCAAGTGCCTTGGTGAAGACATCAGCAGTGTTGGCCTCAGAGGCCACGTACGCAAGTCGCAACTGTCCACGCTGCTGTAGCTCACGAGCAAGAAAGTAGCGGAGAGCAATGTGCTTTGTCCTGTGCTCCAGTCGCTGCTCTCGACACAAGGCCAGCATGGCCTTGTTGTCTACGTACAGGACTGGAGGAGAACGAGGCGGCTCTCCAAGGTCGCTTAGCAGGTAGGTGAGCCAGCGAAGCTCCTGGGCAGCCATAGCCCCGGCGTAGATCTCAGCCTCACAACTGGAGCCGAGAACAGAAGACGAGCGGGTAGCCCGCCACGAAACAGAGCCGGAACCAAGGCTGAAGGTGTAGCCCTGTGACGACCGCTGCGTAGCCTGGTCGTCAGCCCAAGAAGCGTCCGCGTGCCCAGTGAGGACCACTGGACTGCGCCCTCCAAGCACTAGCCCCATGCCCGACGTACTGCACAAGTAGCGCAACACCCTCTTCACTGCAGCCATGTGCTCTGGTCGGTGTCTCCCAGGAGCAACATAGCGTGTGAGAATGCTAAGAGGGTATGCAAGGTCAGGTCGTGTGCAGGTCATCAGGTACATGAGGCAGCCAACAAGCTCTGCATACGGGCCACTCGACTCTACGGACTCATCCGAAGGCAGAGCTAAGAGCGAGTGGCGAGTAGGCTGAGGAGTGGCCTGAGGCGAGGAGTACGTGAAGCCGAAGCGCTGAAGGACCTGCTGCACCATGTGTGACTGAGTCAGGGTAATGGTGCGGCGTGCTCTGTCCCGGGTGATCTGCAAGCCAAGGTAGCTGCGCAGTTCACCCAGGTCAGTGCACGTGTGTCTCTTCAGCAGCTCGGACTTCACGTAGGCAAGTCCAGCAGTGTCAGCTGTGGCAAAGTCCAAGTCGTTTACGTACACGAGGATGTAGAACGGCGGCAGAGAGGTGTCAGTGCGCAGAAACAGCGACGGGTCGGCAGTAGAAGGAGCAAACCCAAGTGCCGCCAGCGTAGTCCTCAGTGTGTCGTACCACTAACGTGGCGCGTGGCGGAGACCGTAGACTGGACGCCTGAGACTCCACTGGGTACCAGGAGGGAAAGACCCAGTGAAGCCAGGTGGGCGACGCAGCCAGATCTCCTCGTGCAGGCTGCCCTGCAAGAAAGCAGTGCTGAAGTTGAGAGAGTGCAGCTCGTAGTCACGGTGAGCAGCAACGTGCAGCAGTACCCGAAGAGTGGTCATCTTCGGGGTGGGGGAGAAGGTCTGAAAGTAGTCAACTCCCTGCCGATGACTGAAGCCACGAGCCACGTAACGCGCCTTGAAGACAGGCGGAGAACCCGGCGGCCGCTTCACCCTGAAGATCCACATGCCACTTACTATGTTCGCCCCAGGAGGGGGAACAGCGTCAACGTAGGTGCCTGTGGACTTCCAGAAAGCCATCTCTGTATCCATAGCTGCCTGCCACTGAGAGGAGTAGGGACCCTCTATCGCCTCCGCGTAAGAGCGCGGAGTCGGGATGTCTAGTGCATCCGGGTCTCCCTCAGGGGCTAGTAGTACAGACGCGAGATGAGGTGAAGCGGCGGCCAGACACTGGAACTCCTCCTGCCTGTCCTCAAGTACGTCCGTGCCAAGGGCACACTCACCCCCGACGGACGGAGGACAGACAGACTCAGACTCAGCGACAAGACTAGCAGCGTAGTCTAGACGACAGCGCGCAGCAAAGTCGACGAGCTCAGTGACAAGGGCAGACGCAGCAGAAGTTTGGAAGAAGGGTCAGTGACGACAGTAGCAAGGAGACGCGTGACAGTAGGACTAGCAGCACGAAGAGAGTCCGACTCCGGGTCGGCAAGAGCAGGAAGAGAGGAAGCAGGAGGAGAAGGCAAAGGGGCACGCAGAGGAGCAGTGGACGGACGCAGAGACATCTAGTGTGTGCCAGGGACAGGAGGAGGACGCTGACGCGAACCGCGACCACTAGTGCGCGCAGTACGAACAGGCGACGCAGGACGAGACGCAGTCTCACGACGCTCAGTAAGACCTCCAGTCGGACCAGCGTAGGGAGAAGGAGCAGGCAAAGGGGAGGCAGGCTGTAGCTGTGACAGGACAGGCTGTGGACCCTCTAAGGGAGGAGAAGGAGGACGAGGAGAAGGTGTAAGACCAAGAACCTGCTGCAGGAGCGGAACAAAGTACGGTCGGGGCCGCGTGGCGACTCCAGAAACAGCAGGGAAAGCACTAGTACCCCCAGCAGGAGTACCCGCTCCAGCAGCACCTCCAGCAGCACCTCCAGTAGCTCCAGAACCCCCAGCAGCACCAGGAGCACTGCCAGCCGGACCACCAGCGGTAGTCTCAGCGCCAACACCCTCAGCAGTACCAGCTCCAGAAGAACCCTCAAGCCCAGCAGCTCCAGTACCCCCAGTACGAGCACCTCCGAGACGCGCGGCAGCAGCACTCTCTGCAGCCGAAGAGCCTCCAGCACCAGCAGCACGCCTCCAGCGCCGGGCAAACCACTCACGCAGCTCCTGTGGGGAGAGTTGCTCTCGGCGAGACGAAGCACCTCCAGGCGGAGAACCTCCAGGCGAAGAACCTCCAGGCTCAGCACCCTCAGGCAAAGCACCTCCAGGCGGAGCACCCCCAGTCTCAGCACCCCCAGGCTCAGCACCCCCAGGCCCAGCACCCCCAGGCTCAGCACCCCCAGGCCTAGCACCCCCAGGCTCAGCACCCCCAGACTCCGCAACCCAAGGCTCAGCACCCCCACGCGTAGCACCTCCAGTCCCAGCACCCCAGGCTCAGCTCCCGCAGCAGCACAAGAGTCACCAGTGACCTCGACAGGCTCGACCGCGTCTACCTGGGACACACCTGAAGGTGCAAGACCCTGAGGAGGGAGGGGGTCTACCGGGGGGGGACCTGGTACCAAGAAGAGCGGGGGCGGGGGGAGGGACGGAGTGCGGTAGGGGAAGAGGCGGTAGTAGGGTACCGACTCGTCGAACGTGACGTCCTGGGAGGACAGAACACGTCGAGAGGTGGGGTGGTAGAACTGCCACCCAGGGGCGTCAGGGGGGAACCCCAGGAAGACGCAGGGAGCAGAGCGAGGGGACAGCTTGTCCGCAGACAAGTCGCGGACAAACGCCCGAGATCCCCAGACCCGGAATGCCGACGCATCGCCAACCTTCCCCGTCCACAGCAG